TGAGCGGTGCCATGTCCACGCCCAGGATCCGAACAGGTGAAACCCTGGGTCACCGAAGCAGAGGGTGCAAACTTAACCTCTCGGCCCCGGGGACGGCCCCAATCATTATATTTTAAATGAGTTACCTGTAGACAGCATATAGTTGGTTTGTTTTTTTTTCTTAATCCACTCTCAAAAATCTGTCTTTTTAATGGTATTTGTAGACCTTTTGTATTTAATGTAATTATCGATGTTAGGTATTGTTTGCCATTTTATTTTTTATTTTTCCCCTTTTCGTTGTTTTCTTTTTCCTGCCTTCCTGTGGATTACTTGAGCATTTTTAGAATTCCATTTTTATTTGTCTATAGTGTGTTTGAGTGTATCTCTTTGTACAGATTTTTTTAGTGGATACTCTTGGTATCATACATAACTTATATACATATGCATACATTATAACACTCAACTAGTGTCATCATTTTACTGATTTGAATAAAGTGTGGAAACCTTGTCTCCCTTCACAGAAGATTTTCTGCTTAAAAATCTTAGCTCTGAAACTATCAAACTATCTGGTCATGGTTCATTTTAGGGAGATTCTAGTTCTTTGATCACTTAAAAAAACTTTTTATTTTAGTATAGTTTTAGATTTACAGAAAGGTTGCAAAAGTACTACAGAAAGTTCCTGTCTGCCCTTACACAGTTTGCCTGTTGTTAAATTCTTGATTACTGTGCTACATTTGTCACAGTTAAGGACGCGATACTTAATTCAGATTTCACTAGTTGTCCATAGTGTTTTTTTTCCTTTCCAGGACTCACCCAGACTGCATTGTAATCTTCATGCCTCCTTAATCTCCTCTGGTCTGTGGCAGTTCCTCAGACTTTCCTTGTTTTTGATGACGTTGGTATTTCTGTGTATTAATGGTGTTTTGAAGAATATTCTGCAATTTGAGTGTCTGCCTTTTTTTTTCCACATGATGAGACAGTTATGGGTTTGGAGGAGGAATACTGCAGAAGTGAAGTGCCATTTTCATCACTTCATAGCAAGGGTACAGGCAAACAACATGACCTATCGCTGAGAGTGTTAACCTTGATTATGTGGCTGAGATTTGTCACCTTTCTCCACCGTAAGGTTATCTTTCCCCCATTTCCATACTTCACTCTTTGGAAGCAAGTCACTAAGCATGTCTGGCACTCAAAGGTTGGGAAGTTAAGCTCTACCTTCTTGAGGGCAGAGTATCGACATAAATTATTTGGAATTTTTCTATACAGGGGATTTATCTCTTCTCCTCCTTTATTTATTTACTCTTTGACAACTTTTAAAATTTCTTCCCTAGTTGTTATCTCTTCAAGTTATTTTATCTTCTTTAATTTACTTTGGGAATTTGAATTTTTCTGGAATATCATCCAATCCATTATTTATTAGAGTAACATCATGTAAATATTTATTTTAATATTTATGGTCATTTACCCTGCCTTCTGCCTAATTTGGTATATTTTTTACTTCTGTCATTTTGTCTGCATTAAGATAGCCAGTGTTTTATTTAATGTTTTTCCCTCCAAATCACTAGCTCGTTTATATTACCAATTCTACTAATTTATTCTGTTACATTAATTCTTTTTAAAAACATCGTTGATCATTCCTTTTTCTTTTTCATTAGAATTATCTTGTTCTTTTTTTGCTCTCTTGATTTAAGTGCTTTTATCATTTTATCAGTTTTCCTTGTGAGAAATAGTGACATCAACCAGAGCTATCTCTGTTTCCTGAGAGTATGTCGGAAAGAAGTGGAAAGTGTTGTCATGTGCTGTTTTGTGTGTGACTTGTGGCAATCATAGTTATTCAGTCAGTTGGTCTGTCAGGCACTGCTGGGGTTAGAGAGAAGAATGGAACACGGGTCTCGGCCTCAGAGAGCTCACAGTTTACTGTGGAGGCAGACATAACTCAACAGTTCCGATACAGAGTAGCGTAAGTTATAACAGACACACAGTGAGCCAACTCTCTGATATGGGGTCATTAGAGCCTTTTGGGGGGTCACACTTGTGCTGAGCAGGAAATGTTGCTATTTGCATGATGGACGCTGTTGTTCACTAGCAGAAGTGTCTACTTGCTCTCTTCCTTTCCCCAAAGGGCATATGCACCTGTCCTGCCTCTGCTTGCATAACTTTTTCTGCTGTCTTTTCAAGATTAGCTACCAATGGTTCCTCTTCTCTCTTCTCAGCTGTCTTCTCCCAAGGATTATCTTGGCTCTCTTGGCTAGGTGAGACGGCTTTGTCGTATGTGCTCACAGCACCCTGTAGTTTTTCATTGCACTTGTCATAGTTTGCAGTTTTATGCTTGTTTTGGGTGATGAGTTGGTTAAAGGTCTACCACTGGATTACCAACCTTATACAGCAGGAACTATGTCATATTTGGTCACCATTGTTTCCCTGCACTTAGATCACTGACTGGCACATAGTAGGCACTCAGGAAATGCCCACATGAATGAGTGAGTGTATAAGGGGAGCAGTGGTAGATGTAAGGTGCATTGGGTCCACGCTGTGAAGAGCTTTATGTCCATGGCAAGGAATTTGAACTCTCCCTCATGATGAGCCTTGGAAGAATATTAAGCAAGGATTTGACTTGATCGGATTTAATTTAGAAAGATCTGCTTAGGATCCATTTGTGTAGGAAGCACATTTTAGAACATGTGAGTAAAGCAGTGTTAACAAATAGACAATTCTTATTTTTGTAAATAATAACCAGTATTTATTCACTAACCTTCCCATTTTGAAAATGCCTTTTCTGAGCAGTTTTTATATATTTATGTAGATTCTCTCCTGTGCTATAGTTAGGAATGGTTTTTAGAATCTGTATCTATCAGAATATTGCCTCTACCCACCAAGATGTCCATGTCTTAATCCCTGAAACCCATGAACATTAGGTTGCTTGGCAATGGGAAATTAAGGTTGCAGATAGAATTAAGGTTGTTAATCAGGTGACCTTAAGAAAAAGGAGATTATCCTGGATTATCCAGGTGAGCCCAACGTAATCAAAGCATCCTTAAGTGTAGAAGGAGGCAGAAGGAGGAGTTTTCAGAGTGACATGATGAGATATGAAAAAGACCCAGCTGGTCATTGCTAGCTTTGACATTGGAAAGGGTGCCACAGGTCAAGGAGGAACAGAAGTGTCTACAAGCTGGAAAAGGCAAGAAAACAGCCTCCAGAAAGGAATGCATTCTCCAGAAATCTAGCCCTGCCAACATCTTGATTTCTAGTTCAGTGAGACCCGTCTTGGATGTGCGACGTCCAGAACTGTAAGAGAATAAATTTGTGTTGTTTTAAGCCACTAAGTTTGTGGTCATTTGTTACAGCAATGATGGAATACTAACAGAGTATCACTTACTGTGTTTTATAATAAGCCTACCGTGTAAGTGATCATGAGAAACAGTACAAAGCAGTCTTTGTAGAAGCAGCAACTGAGATTAACTATGAAATTTGCTTGGGTCTTTTTGTGTTTGTGTATTTGGTGGTTGATAAAAATATCCACATATATTAGACGTTTTCTTAGATTCAAAATTCACATTATGATTCTTGATCTAAATTGGTCAAAGCAGAAATAATATTTTTTCATTCTGATGCTGCCCCCACATGATTCACATGTGAGTAATTCCTGCTGTGCCATATAGCTATGGCAATTCTAGGTTTTGCTGTAAAAATGATTTATTTTGCTCTCTATGACAGGTTTTCCTTTGAAATATATTACTCATGTACTCTGGGAGATTGCTCACATATGTCTCTCTATCTGGTCTCCTGAGATGCTCTGTATCTGTTGAAGCACTGGACTTTTATTTTATTTCACTATAAAATGTTTTATAGTTTTCCATAGCTCCAGTTGAGCTACTTTTTAACAATTAATATTTTAGGCAGTGTAGTTTAGAAAGTACACAGTGTTGTAAAGCTGTTTAGATGGACGGCGGGGGTGACAGGCTGAAGCGAGGTCACGTCTCTCCACTCTTCCCTGTGATGGAGCCTGCTCAGGGAGGGGGTGAGGAACTGGTCAGCTGGGGCTGGGACATCTCTGCTTTGACCGGTTTTGCATAGTGGGGATTCTTGTATCATTCAGCGGGTCCAGTCATCTCTAAGGGGCCTTAGAACTCTTAAGGCTTATTAGCATGAGCCTTTGGGAAGCAGGGACTGCCAGTAATGAAAGACATGCTCAGAAATGAGTGCTTTTTAGAAAGTTATTAATATTTTTTTAATTTGGGGAAATACGTATCAAGAGAATTCAGTGTGCCTGCTGTGCTTCAGGAGTTTTGTTTTCCATTTTCCCCATGTGGTGTGTTATGAATTACAGACTTTACCTTTGAGCTCCTCTACTCTGCAGAGCTGCTTCCCTCGACCCCCTACAAAAAATCTCTAAGTTTGTGTTTTGAGGAGTGTATCTCATTTTTGGCCTTCTTTAAAACTGCCCGATGGCAAACCTGTTATCTCGGGATGGTAATGAGAGAGGAGCATTGAATGTGGGCGGTGCTGTCTCCTTAGGACATGCCCAGAAACCTGTCCTTCCTCCATGGGTTTTCAAATATGGCCAAACCTCAGTAGTTACTCTCTGAGGCCTTGGCCGTGAACCCAGAGGACAACTCAAGGTGGTCCTATGCTGAGTTCATTGTTTGGTGTCACCAGGGACTTGATTGTGTGGGAGACTAGACTATCTGCTTAAAAAATTCAAGCTGGGATATGGCAAATGGGAACTTACCTTGAGGATTTCCCATTTTGCTCCACCACACTGTGGGGAGACAGCAGAGTATCTGGGTATCCACTCTGGGTGGGAGTCCCCTTCACATTCACCTACATGTTCTGAGAACAGGGGCCCCCAGTGGACTCTACTCTTGACTCCTGAGTGAGCAGTCTGCGGGAGTGGCCTGTTCTCAAGCCTGGACACCAACCCAAGGGAGCTGCAACAGAGAGACTCAGGTGGGATGCTACTGTTCAGAGGGTAGAGGTAAGGGATGTTACTAAATAGCATACAATGCACAACAAAGAATTACCTTACTCAAAATGTCATTAGCACCCACAGTGAGAAACCTTGCACTGGAGTCTGGCTCACTTTCTTCCATTCTGTGACTACTGTTGTCATCAGTTTTGGTGACTTCAGTTTTCATGTGGTTGCCCATTCAGTAGTACCTCCAACCATCTGTCTTCTAATATTCTGTTCCATCCCCTGTACACATCTTATATCCACAGTCTGGGGACATGTTTCTGACCTTGTCACCTCTCATAAGTGAACTACCTTCACAATCTGGCTTCAAGCATCCCACTCTCTAACTGCCTCTCCTATCCTTCCAGCTCACCTCCTGTAGTTCTCTCAGGAGTTCCTCAACCTCACAGAGATGTCCAGACCATTGACCCACCCACTTTCATTGTCTGCCAACCTCTTTATGTCTTCACTTCCCTTTCTCAGCTCTGTGATCCCTCCTTCTGATGCTCTTGAAAACACCTGAATTCCCTTACCCCTTGTCTGTCCCTTATTCACCTGTCAGAGCCACACCTTCAGTTAAGCCCAACTACTCCTGTTCTTCACCAGCACCTGATAAATTAAAGTCTCTAGAGAAAAACACACAGCTATACCAACAGGTTTCTCTTTAAGTTAGTTGACTGTATCTCAGCTGGGGATCCATGCTGCTTATGTGTTTGATTCCTAGTCTCTAAAACAACCACTCCCAGTGCTTTAAGCTTCATTGAGAAATTCCCACATCCTCCCAACACCAAATCTGCCAAGTATAGGCAAGCGCTTGTGTACGCCTTATCCTCCTTTAGTTTCCTTGGTGGAATGATTAGAATATCTCTGCTTTTATCAAAGGCAAACCAAGTCTTCTACTTGTGCTCTGGGGCCATCCCCTCTTGCTTCCGTAAGGTTTTTCTTCCAGCACTTATCTTCTCTGGCTCTCTTTTAGATCTTGTTAGGAAGTACTAGGTGTGCTCTTGACCTCACATTTCTCTGCAAGCTATTACTTGATTTTTCTAATTACCCTCATAGCTAAATTTCTTGAAAGAGTTGTCTCTGGTGCTGTCTTCTCTTTTTGCCTTATAGTGTTTCCTCAGCTACTCTGTAGAGTTTGGTTTCACTTCTTTACTGAGATTGTGCTATGAACGTCACCAGTGACTTTCATGTTGGCATATCCCATAGTCACTTCTCTGTTTTTACTTCCTTGATCTGAAAACAGTTATGAATAAAACTGCCCACCTTCGCATCTTGAGACAGTCTTCTGTCTTGGCTTCTGTGGCACCACACCCTCCAGTTTTCCTCCCACCTCCCTAGCTACTGCTTCTCCATTTCCTTTGCAAACTCCTCGAGCTGTGTTTGACCTCCAAGGTTCAGAGAGCCCCAGAGCTCTGTCTTTGGACCCTCTTCTTTATTACCTTCACACTTTCCCATAAGTAAATCTCTTCATGACCATTGTTTAAATTATATTATGTTAGTAATTCTCCATTAACCTCCCTTTCTAGGATTAATAAACTGCCTTTTTACCCTGCTCAGTGCCCCCAGAGGGTGTCTCAACCAGCTACATCACCTGCTCGCCTTAGCCTTCTGGCTTCTAGTTGAGTTCTGCCAGTAGGAGACGCTGGCAGGATCAGAGGGCAGGAGGAGAAAGAGGTCAGAGTATTTATTCTCCTCATTCCTTCCCTGCCTGGTGATAGTTTTGGCAGTGGCTGAATTCCTTTTTTAGTATAACTCCTGTTAGAGGTCCCCTCCTCCCTGGCGCCAGCTCCTCCTGGGCTGTGGCAACACGGTTCTTTCTCCTGTCACTTCAGGCCTATGGGTGGTAGTGTCTGCTGGTCCCTGGGTACCTCACCACCCCTTGCTGGCTCTCTTCAGCTTGCCTCCACATCTGTAAAAACAATTCATTAAATTGTTTTCAGTTAAATCCTTTTGAGATGCCATCTGTCATCTGATCTGATCAGTGCGCCATCTGTAATCTCACAGAACTATCTATATATGTTGCAGACTTCCAGATCTTTGTCTCCAACCTTAATCCTTCTTTTGAACTCCTGAGTCTTGTGTTCAGCTGCCCATTTGAAATCTCCCCATAGGTATCTTAGATGTATCTCAGTCTTCACATAGCTAAATAGGTCTTTGATTCTGTGCCCACTGCCCTTCCTCACACATACCCAAACTGTTTCTTCCATAGTTTTCTCCATCTCTGTAAAATATACCTCTCTCCACCCACGTAATATAATATAATCTGGTTTCATCCTTTCTTCTTCTCCTACATTCCTCAATTTGCCTACTTGTTTCCATCTCCATTCCCACCACCCTGTCCCAGCCAGCATCGTATCTCACTGGGACTGCTACAATGTGTCCTGACTTATCTCCCTGCTTCTGTTTTTATTTCTCCTATTGTCTGTGCTCTGTGTAGCAGCCGGATTTGACCTTTTTAAAATGAAAATTATATATCTCTCTCTAGTTGAAAACCTGCGACGACCCAGCGTCCTATTGAAAATAAAACCAAACTTCTTTACCCAGACTCACAGAGCCCCACCTCATCTGTCCCTTCCCTCTCTCACCACCCTCCCCTTTACCTATACAAGTCAGCCACAGTGTCCGTCCTGTTTCTCCAGCTTGTCAAGATGATTTCCACTTTGGATCTTCACACAAAGTTCCATTTGTCTGGAATGTTCTCCCTTCTTCTTGGCATGGTTGATCCCTTTTCTCATTCAAGTTTCAGTATAAATCTTACCTCTTCTGGGAGCCCTCCACCCCCAAATAAAGTACTTATTAAGATCACCCAATTTTATTTCTTAATGTGCTCTCAACTTTTTGATATTTTTCTAGCTTATTTGTCAACCTTTTGTCTCTTCTAACTAAGACTGAAGCTCCGTGAGAACAGGGGCATTCTCTGTCATGTTCAGCACTGTGACCCCAGCCCCCGGAACAGTGAGGGACATGTCAGTAGCATGGATTAAGTACTTATTGGATGAATTAACTAACAAACGTCTGTTGTGGCATTTACTTTTCAAATTATATATTTTTCTGGTTACAAAATTTTTGTGATAGAATAAATTTTAAAATACTAAAATATGACAGAAGAAAATTAAAATCACCTTTTCCTAACTACCCAGGCGTAATTATCTTATACTGCCTTCTGATAATGCCTGTGTTCTTATGTATAGGTAAATATTGATAATGTTTCTGACATGCGTTTGTCACAAATATCTTTCTCCTTTTAATGAGCACAGTTCTTTTTCATTGCTTTTAAGCAATCATTGGATGTTAGTTTCCATTTTTTCTCATTTCCACTTATTTATAAACTTTGGCATGAAACTACTAAATTCACAGACCTTATCTCAATATAGCATTTGGTAGATGCTCATAAATATTTTTTGTTGAATGAATGAAATTTGCTTATTATAGGTGATAGTTGATTAAAAACATGATTAGATCTCTATGCATGTTCTTCAGGAGAAATTTCTAAAGATTGAATTTCTGGATTTTGATATGTTCATTTTTTAAAGAGTGTTCAATGCCTATTCTGAATTAACTTCCAAGAAAATATGTATCAATATATTCCTTTAAACAGTTTATGATATAATCTACTTCTTAGATTCATGCCTACAGTTGTTATACACGTATACACATTTATACATAAATCTTCCTATATTTTTTGAGCAAAATCTTATTTCCATTTGCAGTTCTCTGAATTCCAATGAAGTTTTCTGTGAGTACATTTACTAGAAACTTTACTTGTTCTGTGGCTTGCCTATTCATGGCCTTTGCCCATTTTTTCTATATACATATTTGTCGTTTTCTTAGTGACTTATAAGAGCTCTTTGCATATTAGTTACTTTAAATGTATGTGACTCATTTTCTTAGTCTGTCATTTGATTTTTAGTTTGATTTATGTTGATTTTAGACAGAGACATTTTAAACTTTGAAGTTGGTCTTTATTAGTCTTCAAAATGCTTTCCCCACTCCTAATTTGAAAAACATGTCTTTCTTATGGTTGTAGTGTTATTTTTTTAACATTGAACTTTTGAATCTACTTAAAATTTGCTTTGGAGTGATTTGAAATAAAGATATAAATTTGTTTCTCTCCGATATTTAATTTATTTAACATGTACTTAGGGTGTTTAGTATATATAAGGCACTATTCTAAGTGCTTTATACATAATAACTTTTAATCCTTGTAACGACCTTACAAAGTAGTTTCCCTTCTCCAACCCCTGATTTTATAGAGCAAGAATGCAGAGGCACAGAGAGGTTAAGAACTTGCCCGAGGTCACAGGCTGGTACCATTTTGCCCCAGAATCTGTACTGTTAAGCAGTGTAGTCTACTGCTGCTGTTATTGTTAAATATTCGTCTCTATACTATGTTTTAAATGGTATGTCCATTCCCACTGTTTGGAAAAAGCCATTTTTAACATGATATGAAGTCATATACATATGTACGTCTCTTTTCAAGCTTGCTTGTCTCCATGATTGATTTAATCTCTATTCGAGTGAAAGTACCACATGTTTGAATATTGTTTTCCATTTCATCTTTTCCTCATTATTCTTGTTTAAATGTTTTAGAACTTTTATTACACATTTTTACCAAAATCCTACTTAATGGAAAAGTAAATGCATGGACCTTTTCTATTAAGGTTTGTTTCAGTTCCATAAATACCGGCTATTTTATTATAAGGAATCACGTATAGACTCTTAGTGGGTTATGAGAAATTACTTTTTCACACAGTCAAGACACAACTCTCTGGGCTACAGTGTGTCAAGTCTCCATTGAATATATGAGGTTGTAGCGTGAACATGATTAGCGCAATTCTGGTAACAGAGTAGATGCACAATAATTGTTATAAATGTAGAAACGAGGATAGCGTGTCAGTTTCCACGTTCTTTTTCTAGTTTTCCTTTGTATTTTCTGTATCAAACTTGTATATTTAACAAGTATTAATGATTTTGCTCAAATAGATGAGGCTTTGAAATCATTCCTCTTCCCTGGATCAGCTTCTGTTGAGGAGAGGAAAATGCTGAATTTCCAGAGTTACTCTTTCGTCCTCCATTGATATTGCCATCAGGACTGGCATGGATCAAGAGAGGCACCAAGATCCTGGCTTCTCTACTGGGACTTTCAGAGGTTTTGTTTTCACAAAACTTTCTTCCTTAAAGCCTGGGCGATTTGGGTCTACTAAGAAAAAGTTCAACAACACAAACCTGTTGTTTCTCATAAGGGTTCTTAGTGATCCCTGACCCTGCTCACTGGCTTGGATGAGCCTTTGACTATAATGAACTTACTTCTGAGAGGGATGGAAGCATGCATGGTATCAAGCACTAGTCATTGAAGACCAGGATGAGCAGGAGGATAGAAAGAATATCACTGGGTAACTTTTCGTTCTGTTGAGATTGACATTATATGTGGCACCTTTCCAAAACTGATCTATAAATAAAATTCTTTATCTGTAAAAATTCACCTTTTTCTTATACCAAAATGCTTTCTTTAAGTGAGCCTAGCCCCAAAATGAGGCTTTGAAATTTACATACTGTTTTGAGGACCACATTGTTTTTTGTTAGCTGAGACAACATCCCACTGATGTGAAGTAACTGTTAGTGCTAATGGTTCATCCTTGAAAACCAAAAAAATGTGAAAATTTAAAAATGTCAACTGAGTCATGTAAGTTGGCTTGTATTATGGCATGTATTATGTATGGCTTTGGTTCAGTTGGAAAGTGAAGATAAATTCCGACTTTAGTGGCCTGTGGCAACGTTCACATTTTGCAGTGTGGATTTATGGTTCACTATTACTAAATGTCAACTGAATGTATTTTACTTTTCTGTGCAGTTAGTTTATCGTTAATGAAATTGTAATTTTAAATGCTAAACAAAAAAACAAGTGTGGGAATATTATGTGATTACCAGAAAACAATTGTGTAAGTAATCAGAGTAATGGTAATATTATTTTATACATTATTATTTCTGCATGGATTTCCTCTTTTAAGTTTCAAGTTAAGGGGCCATTCAAGGGCAAAACACTTCCCATGATATATGGATAAAGTTTGATAAATTCCTAGGCCGAGCTAAGGGTGTTGAAAGTTTTTATTTCATTGACTGTGTTGTTTTGTGCTTTGACCCTGTGTAAACTATGTAGACCTCTACATATTCATTGCCATGTATGTGTCCACATTCTTCCTTTGATATTTTCTTAAACTCATGGCAATTATATTATTGAGAAGTAATTTATGCCAGATAAATTTTATTTAATTTATTTATTTATGTTTTTGAGGAAGACTAGCCCTGAGCTAACATCTGCTGCCAATCCTCCTCTTTTTGCTGAAGAAGACTGGCCCTGAGCTAACATCCATGCCCGTCTTCCTCTACTTTATATGTGGGACGCCTGCCACAGCATGGCTTGACAAGCACTGCCATGTCTGCACCCGGGATCTGAACTGGGGAACCCTGGGCCGCTGAAGTGGAACGTGGGTACTTAACCACTGCGCCACCGGGCTCGCCCCTATGCCAGATAATCTTTATAATGAGACTATTTAGGAAAAGGAGCAGTGGCTTTTTTTATTAAGTGCTGAAATATATTTACAGAACCCAGGACTACTTTAGGAGTTGAAGAACTTGGGAAAGGGAAGAAAATGTGATAGTCTTTTTATTGGAAAAACAAAACTAGAAAATATCTGCTGGCCCTTAGATGTAATAGTTGCTATGACAATTGATCAGTATTTACCTCGGGGAAACCATGAAGAAAATATTCATGTTCTGATTTCCTGGTGGTTTGTATGAATTTAAAATGATATATTTTCTAGACCAGGAAATGGTAACACCCTAAATCATCACTTTTGTAAACTTAGTGTGTTTCAAATGTAATGCTAGCTGTTTTTCTTTTTACACTAGTGTTGCATTTAGATCTTCATTGTATAAAAACTACAGAAAAACACTGAAGAAGAAAATAAAAATGATCTATAACCCCATGCCAGAGATAATCATAGTTAACATTTAGCGTATGTATTTCTGGGTTTGTTTTTATATGTATTTCTCTATAGTTTCTGTTGTTGCTATAATATGAACTACAGGCAGTCATCTCTTTGCGTGGTTCTGATATGCATGGATTTCAATTACCGTGGTTTAGTTAAATAACTCCAGTTCCCTAGCAACATGGTTCAGATTTAATTTACCACAGTATATTTACTGTGAGTAATTGCATAAAGTACAAACTTCACTGCCAGGTCTTCAATCAACAAACCACTAAGTAAATAGCAGATGGATATCACGATTAGTGGCCTTTCACATCACTTCTTTCAAAGTCTGTTGGTGATTTGTCACTGTGTATCAATTCAGGCTCAGACAGTGACATGTGTAGTTGTGTTTCCTCCTCATCTCCCAGTCATAAACCATATGACATTTTACAAAAATGGATAATTGAAAAAGAGGGCGGCCAAGGAAGATAAAAGTTCAGCAAAGAAACAAAAAGTGATAATGCTGGAAATAAAATTTGAATCAAATGTAAATAGAGTTAGAGAATGATTGTGGGAATGTTGACACCGCTGCTATTCCAGAAACTCTGGTGGGGGCTGGCCGTGTGGCCAAGTGGCTAAGTTCACGCTCTCCGCTTTGGCAGCCCAGGGTTTCCCCAGTTTGGATCCTGAGCATGGACAAGGCACTGCTCATCAGGCCATGCTGAGGTGGCATCCCACACAGCAGAGCCAGAAGGACCTACAGCTAGAATACACAACTATGTTCTGGGGGGCTTTGGGGACTGGAAGGAGAAAAAAAAAAGAGAGGCAACAGATGTTAGCTCAGGTGCCAATCTTTAAAAAAAAAAAGACTTTAGCTATGCAGCCAGGGGAACTTGGAGAAGGTGAACTTATGGACGCTAATGAGGAAAGTGGTTGTGATGAAAAGAATGAAGATGTCCCAGAGGAAGTGACATCAGTGAAAAAAAAAAGAAGCATGTTAATGGAACTCTCAGAGATATTTCACATCCTATTTCACAAAGCACAAAAAATAAAATATTAGAAAGAACTGTGACATTCCCCAAGGCATAGAAAAGATGCTTACTTTGTACTTTAAGTTATGTGATGAGACAAACACAAGTACTGTTCAAACTGCTCTTCACTAGTGTATTACAACTAATAGAATTAGTTTTACAGCTAATGAAAAAAATACTTCTCAATATTTCTATTGTTTCAAATATAGTGTAAAAATTCCCCTATATATTTATAACTGATAATAAAAGAGTTTTGAGTGTTTTGTTGACAAATTTTAAAGGTCGTGGAACAGTTATAATTTTTCCCATTACTCATTGACAGCACTCTGCGTGGTTTTAGCTTGCACAGTCATTTTAACAGTCCTACACTACAGTGCAAAGTGAGGGATGGCTGCATAGAACCATTCCTTCTGGTGGCCACATATTTGAACATATGCATTTTACTTCTACATATGTTATGAAGCCGTTAATGCATTATTATTTTCTTTATCCAGTCCTTTTAAAGAAATTTATATTTGAGAAAAGTAAGATTTTAAAAAATATTTGCTCACATATTGCTACCTCAGGAGATCTTCATTCCTTTGAATAGGTTCAAGTTGCATCTTTCTCTCTCTTCCTCTGCGTTTTTTTTTTTTCCTGAAAAACTTCCCTCAACACGTCTTTTAGTGCACATATACTATTGAAGAATTCTCTCAGCTTTTGTTTGCTGAAAAGTTTTCATTTCACCTTCATCCTTGAAGGATGTTTTCACTGACTATAATATCCAGTTTGTTATTTTTTCTTTCAATACTTCCAAGGTGCTGTTTTAGTGTCCTCTCGCTTGCACGGTTACTGATGACAAGTCTGCTGTTATTTTTGGTCTTTTCTGTGCAGTGTCTTCCCCACCCCCCCACCCCACCCCCCGACTGGTTTTAAAATTTTCTCTTCACCCCTGGTTGTCAGCAATCTGATTATGATTTGTCTTGGTGTGTTGTGTGTGTGAATGTTTATCTGTATTATGGCTTATTGAGCTTCATGGGTTTGTGGATTTATAATTTTCCTCAAATTAGAAATTTTTTGAGCTCTTGTTTTGTCAGAAAAGCATTTTGTCCACTTTCCTGTTATCCTATTTGAGCTTCCAATTATATGTATGTTAGAGCACTTGACATTGTCCCATGGGACACTGAGGCTCTAGTCATTTTGTTTTTTAGTCCTTTTCCTTTTTGTACTTAATTTTGGGTATATTTTATTGCTAAATCTTCAAGTTCACTGCTTCTTTTGTCTGTTATGTCTAATCTGTTGATAATCCTGTCTAGTGAAATTTTTATTTCAGGTATGTTTTTATCTCTAAAAGTTGCATTCTTTTGTTTTTAAAACCTTCCCTTTCTTTCCTCTTTATATTCATTTTTCCTTTGCATTCTTAAGCATATTATGCATGTTTATAATAGCAAATAACATTTTTGCCTGCAGTTCCACTGTTTCTGTCATTTCCACATCTTGATTTTTCTGACTTGACTTTTTTTCTTTTTGTTATGACACATTTTTATGTTTCTTCTTTTGTCTAGCAATATTTGATTTGACTTCCAACTTTGTAAAATTAGCACTGAGTCTGTTATTTTGTTGATTTTCTGAAGACTTGGAGTTTTTTCTTGTAGGCAATAAAGTTACTTGTAGATTATTTTGACTTTTTTGAGGTTTATTTTCAAGTTCTCTCTTTTTTTTAAGATTCTATTTTTTTCCTTTTTCTCCCCAAAGTCCCCTGGTACATAGTTGAATATTCTTAGTTGTGAGTCTTTCTAGTTGTGGCATGTGGGACGCCACTTCAGCATGGCTTGATGAGTGGTGCCATGTCCGTGCCCAGGATTCGAACCAACGAAACACTCGGCCGCCTGCAGCAGAGTGTGTGAACTTAACCACTCGGCCACGGGGCCAGCCCCTCAAGTTCTTTCAAGGCATGTTTAGAATTGCCTTTATTCTAGGAATAATAGTGTCCCATTTCTAAGGCATTGCCCTTCTGAATTATTTTTGCTAAAGGTATGCTCTGTATTCAGCATGGCCTCTGTAGTCTGGCTAGAAGAACATGAATGATTTCCTGGCCTTGTATGAGTTCTGGGAATTGTTTCTCTTACTGCTCCCTAGCAATTTTTATTTCTTAGGAATTTTTTTCTTGCCTAGCCTTTGCAGGATTTTTTCCTTTACATATATGGATTGATTTCAAAGATTCACAGGGACCTTTATACAGATTTCTTGATTTCTCTATGTATTTCTCTTTCTTCTCTGTGGAATCTACCTCATAAATTCTAGCTGCCTTGACATCCCCAAACCCCAATCTCTGTCTCCCTAATTCATCTAGATTGCTAGGCTCTGTATGGGTTCCCTCTTACTGTGCTGCTGTCTGAAAACTGCCTAATAGCAGAAAACCTGGTCAATGGTAGGTTCACCTCATTTGTTTCTCTTCTTTCAGAGATCACAGTCCAGGGCTACTTGTTTTCCAGTTTCCGAAAATAGTTATTTTTAAATATATTTTATACATTTATTATACAGGTTTCCTTCGCTACCAGAAAGTTCACTTACTCCACTTCTCATTTACGAGAGACCTACATTAGACCTGTTTTCACTAACCAAAAGAAATTTGAAGAGGGTTTTCACTTACAAAAAAAGGCCATAAACGAAAATAGCGTTCAGCCTTTGTTTTGCAGTGAGCCATTATAAAGGCAGTGTGTACCCTGAGCAGCAAGAACTGCATTCCCAGAGCCACACTCAGCATGAAGCTGCCATAGCCTTGAACTGTGTCAGCAAGCATCTGTGCTTTATCTTGATTTATTTTGGTAGGTTATTTTTTGGGTTTTGGAATGCTCAAAAAATTTTCCCATTAATAGTAAAATTAATGGTAATTACCTCTTCACTTTATGCCATTTTGGCTTATGAAAGGTTTCATAAGGAACACTATTTCCAGTTAGTGAGGAAAACCTGTATTTGTCCTGTTTTCTAGTTATTTACAGATGGGGGGTAATTGTGGAGCCTCTTAATCCTTCATGGCCAGAAGATGAATTCTAAGACTCCATTTTATTATATGTCTCACTCTTCTTCCAGAATGTGAGTAACACAAGGGCAGGGACCAAGTAGCTGAGCATCACCAGCACCAGCCAGGACCTGACACGTGTTGCTCAGAGAGGACTGGCTAAATGAAGATAGTACTTGAGATCTTAGGACCATCTTGAAATTATTGAACTCATCATTACTTCATTGACTTCATTTGTTTTATCACAATGAC